GCAATTATTTTAGACGTCATCTAGGAATTTCCTTTAGCCTCATAAAATCACGAGTTCTCTTCATGTATACTATTCTCTTGCCAAAACTTCCATTTTTTAAAATGTGAAATGTCTTTCTACCTATTTCTGTGTATTCAGATCATCCACATGTGAAAATCCTTGCTAACGCCTTTCTTAGAATCTCAGAAGGTAAGATTCTAAGAATTTTTCTTTTTGACATGGAGTCTCGCTCTGTTGCCCAGGCTGGATTGCAGTGACATGATCTTGGTTCACTGCAACCTCCGTCTTCCAGCTCAAGCAATTCTCCTGCCTCAGTCTTCCAAGTAGCTGGGACAGGCACGTGCTATCACGCCCAGCTAATTTTTGTATTTTTAGTAGAGATGGGGTTTTGCCATGTTGGCCAGGCTGGTCTTGAACTCCCTGACTTCAGGTGATGGACCCACCTCAGCATCCCAAAGTGCTAGGATTACAGGCATGAGCCACTGTGCCTGGCCTAATCATTTTTCATCTTTTAATTTCATAGTACTTAATGTTTCACATTTTTAATGGCAGTTAGCATCTTCTTTATACCATGGATATTTACATATGGTTTGTATACAAATATCTCTTGAACTATAACTCTTAAACATAAACTCTTAAAAGGGCATACATACTTTTATTAATCTTTGTATCCTCCACAGTGCCTTATTACGTAGTAAATGATTAAATGAAATAAAGCCTACAATCTGTTGAAAGGAGTGAATTCAGTAACCGGGGAAAATGACTTGAGGACCTGAGAAGGGACGGTGTACTTCTTTATGATCTTTTACTGACATTCTTCTGTACCACAATTGTAACCACTTTCATTACAAAGTAATTTAGTTTTGTATATTTTCTCCTAAAATGCCATTTCCTACCCTGTAGGAGCAAAAAAAAAATCTGAACATCTTGTTTGTAACTTAGCAGATTCTTACATCGTTCTATAAAATTGTCTAAACTTTTTTTTTTTTTTTTGAGATGGAGTCTTGCTGTGTTGCCCAGGCTGGAGTGCAGTGGCGTGGTCTCGGCTCATTGCAACCTTCGCCTCCTGGGTTCAAGCAATTTTCCTGCCTCAGCCTCCTGAATAGCTGGGATTATAGGTGCCTGCCATCACGCCCAGCTAATTTTTGTATTTTTGGTAGAGACAAGGTTTCACCACGTTAGCCAGGTTGGTCTCAAACTCCTGACCTCAGGTGATCCGCCCGCCTCGGCCTCCCAAAGTATTGGAGTTACAGGCGTGAGCCACCATGCCCGGCCAGCTGTCTAAACTTTATCTACTAGAAAAAATGTTTTATGCTAGTCTGTGGAGTCTAAAAAGCTGAATAAGTCAAAGTTCCTGTTATTCAGAAGCTTAAAATGTCATTTTATTGTCTCTTTATATGACTCTAATTTCTACTTGTGATCTAAGACTTATAGTCATTTATTTGCCTGTGAAGCTTTTTTTCTTTTCTTTCATCCCTACCTCAAATATTTAAGGGCCTGCATGTATGGTACACGCTCCACCTGAACCTGCTTGGCCATTAGGAGATACTTAGGCTATTTTTCTGGAGAATCCTGGTTATAATTCTACAGTGATCTCCTAGCTGTTTTTAGAGATATTCAGAATATGCCACCTTTAAGTCAGTTAACTGAACTTTTGTTTTTTAATATATATGTAGAATTTGTTCTTGCAAAAGATAGTTATAGAATATACTAAATTATTTATGAAATATATATGTTTTTATTTGTGGTTTACTTTAAGATTACAAATTCAGAAACGCTTGTCCGGTGTTCAAGTCTTTTGGTGGGTGTCCTTGGCTGCTACTGTTATATGGGTGTAATAGCTGAAGAGGAAGCATGTAAGTCAGAATTATTCCAGAAAGCCAAGGTAGGAGAATTTATACTAATAAAGTTTCAGATTAAATTTAAAGGAAATGTATTCCTGAGAAAATTATTACATTTGTTTGGAAGACATTAAATTTTGTGCAGGTTAACCCTTTCTCTTTTATTTATGTAATATGAGAAGAAATTATACTATGTATTTTTTAATTGTTTTAATTTTTAATTATTATTTTACTTTAAGCTCTGGGGTGCATGATACAGAACATGCCGGTTTGTTACATAGGTATACAGTGCCATGGTGGTTTGCTGCACCTATCAGCCGTCATCTGCATTAGGTATTTCTCCTAATGCTATCCCTCCCCTAGGCCCCCACCCCCTGACAGGCCCCAGTATGTGATGTTCCCCTCCCTGTGTCCATGTGTTCTC